CCACCAGATGGTGCTGGAAACATTGAAATGGAATCATAAAATATTTAGTATAGCGTGTGTTGCTTTTACGTCCACCAGATGGTGCTGGAAACATTGAAATGGAATCATAAAATATTTAGTATAGCGTGTGTTGCTTTTACGTCCACCAGATGGTGCTGGAAACATTGAAATGGTTTTCAAAGCATGTTTTTACAAAAAATCATGTTTTTACCTGTCACAGGTGTGACATCTATATAATATACGTATGTAAAAACATTCGCGTACTCGAATGCAACGTTGTGTCAAAATTTCAAAGCAATCGGTGAAGAACTTTTGGAGATTAGCAATTTTGAACAAACAACCATTACATTTTTATTTATATAAGCTAATACATAAATTCTGTGATGAAAACTTAAGAGTCTTTTCTTATCAACTGCAAACCTTTTTATTCTCCACCAGAGTTTTCCCCATTTCTCCTAATTGCTGTGTATTTCCCTCACAAGCTTGTGTAACTGATCAGGTTATATGATCAGTTACAGATTATGATCAGATTATGAGGGCCAAGGCCAAACACCCACGTTCCCTGGCCCACATCATCCTAGGTGACTTCAACTAAGGGAAGAGCTTCCAAAATACTTTCAGCATGTCACCCGTCCCACCAGGGGCAAGAATACCGTTTAGGCCAGAGGGGCGTCCAAACTTTTCTGTATTCCAGCAATTTCCAGCATATTTCTGTTAGTGTAAAATAGTCTGAACGGATCAGGATCATGCTGCTCTTATTAAGTGGCTTTAAAACATATTTTACTTACTTTAAATTGTTTCTTGGTCATAAATATTGTGGTATTTATCAGTAAAGATGTTTAAGATCATTCCAATATAGTATTCAAGTAGTAAAATCAGTTATTACCCAACAAGGTAAGCTTTTACCCCAATGAAACACAAGACAGGGTGTAATTTAACCTTCTAAGCCTTAGAAAAGTTACTGTTAATAGCAGGCAATTTTTATTGGTATCAATTTGTCTTTGCACCGCAATCAAGGCCTTCGCCGCAATTTAAGATCCTCTCAAAAGCTTCTACGACGCTTCTCCTAAACCTGAACGTACAAAAGACTTTGCCACGGTTTGCCTTTTCTAAACCAGGCAAACGAGTGAGAAAACACCGGCGGAGCCTTTAGAAGAACGTAAAGGCTGGGAGCAGCGGGGCCTCATGCGCTCCAGACATGGAGGCTTAGCGAGAGAGATATATCCCACGAGGGCAATCTGGGCCCCAGACGGGAGCAGACCACAGACGGGTTTTCTCAGCCATCGGTGGCGAACCTCGAGGTGCCGAAGCGAAGCAATTTAACCGGTTACCTGGTTACTGAAATCCCCGTTTCCTTCCTTATGCGCGTCACTCACAAACTGCCTCAACTCCCCATAACTTCCCTTCGAGAGCAAGAGAGAAAGTTTAGGGACCCAGCAGAGATAAAACCTCCGCTGAGGCGCGTCCTAAACTCTCCCTGAACAGAAACGGCCCAACGGCTGAAACCTCCCCGCGTGCCCCGCCCGAAGTTCGCCTCGCGAAGGCCGCTCGCCTGATTCCTTCTCCTCCCGCGGGGATTGGTGCAGAAGGAGCACGTGCTCCGTCGGAATTAACATATTCTCACACCAGGCGTGGCGGATTGGAGATTGTGGGCGTGTTCTCGCTCGTCCTGTGACTGTGCTTCCCGCCAGTGTGGGCACCGTTGGTCTCCGTAGCACCGCCAAGTCCGCTATGAAAGTCAGCTCTTCTGGAGTCAGAGTCCAGACAGAGATGGGAAGTTTCCTTGGCAGAACCGTGAAACGGCTTGCCTTCAGAAGTAGCTGAGTTGGGCAGCCGTTTCTCTGAAATAGCATAGGGTCTCTATTCGAGCAAGGGGTTAGACTAAAAGACCTTCAAAACCCCTTCCACCTCTGTCGTTCTAATAAAAGAAACTGTCCTGATGGGGCAATAAAGAATGATAATTATGGGAATGGAAGTGAACAGGAAGCCCTTTCAGGAAAGTGGCAGTCGCCACAAATATTGCACAATTGTTTGAAGCAGGGACCATTTAGACAATCCCCAACTGAGACTTATGGACAAACAGTGTATAACTTTTTAATTAAAAAATACCACCTGCTGCAAACAGTTACCACATTCACGGGGACCAGTGAAGTGAATAGGGGAAATGTTTGGCTTTTAAAATCTTTAGTCTGTTTATGTGGGACGGGGGAAGTTGAAACAATATCCCACGTAATTTTTAATTGCACCCTGTACTCAGATTTGAGGGAAGACCAGTTGGGTAGGATCTTTTATACCAGCACCCCTAAGTCCGAAGAGGGCTTTTTGCAACGTTGTTTGAATTAGGTACTAATCGGCAGTTGGTGAAATGGATTGCCAAATTTACTGTAAAGTTGATGGAAATGAGGACAAAGTTGGTGCAGCAGGAAAGACTACTTGACGGGGTAGACTTAGGGGTGACATTGTAATATAATTTCTAGCATATTTAATTTGCATCTTAAATTATTGCATTCTATTCTGATTATATTTTAAATTGTAGTTTGTGTCTCTGGAACTTAGTATTTTGATATGGCCCAGGGGCTAATCAACAAAGATTGATTGATAGTTTTACTCTTTTTGGCAATTGACACAATCTTCTACTGTCTCCAAAACACTTCACATTGTATGTTTCTCTTTGAATTCTTTTAAGCAGAATTTACTTTCAGCTTTTTATGTTCCTGTTGTGAAAGAGTTGTCTTGTAACTTTTTTTTAAAAAAAGGGAAAGGGATGGTAAACAAAACACTGATAGATATCTAAGAAAAGAAAACAGAAAGATTCAAAAAGCAAGAGAAAATAGAATGGAGAAAAAAGAGAAAGCTTTATAGATATAGAAATTATAGAATTTATTATAGAAAATAGTTTATTAAATACAACACCAATCCACCTGAAATCACAGAATATGCCCATTGTGAAAAGTGAATGATACAGTCACACTTCTGATTAATTTTGGAATTGTTGTGAAACAAAAAATATGAATCTGAAGTACAGGTCCTTGTAGAATCTCAATTTTACACAACTAAAACCCTCCAAATCATCTAAATAAACCAAAAGACCCAGCAGATCCGGAAGGAAAAAGCAGTCCTTGTGACATATAGTGTAAGGACTGCAAAAGCCATGATATATAGGACAAGTGACGGAAGACTAGCAGATCACTTTTATGAATACCAACTACCGGTAGCAGTCAGTTTTAAGGGGAAGTTATTTAGATTCATAACTTGCATAGAAACTATTCTCTCCCTTTTAAAATGTACCCTCCCCCTTTTTTAAATGTTACTGGAGCTTATTTTTGTGAAATAACAGAATAATTCAAAGATAGTTTGCCATTTATCAATATATGTTATGCTATAAAGCTGCTTATAAATGGAGGAAAATGAGTAATAGGATTAAATTATAAATCTTATAAATTACAGACTGCTTTACCTATACTCTAATGCCTATACATTCTATAATTCTTTAAAGACAAAAGAGGGGCAGCTTGAACATTTACTTTACTTACGTTTCTAAAAAATATTATTTATTTGTGCATTTATTTGTGTATTTATTTATTTTCTGCTTTATGTATTTATTTACATCTTGTCTTTATTATTTTTATAAATAATTCAAGGCCTACCTAACACCCCTCCCACCAATTTTCCCCACAATGGTATCCCTGTAAGGTGGGTTACGCTGAGACAGTACACTCTCCTTTTATGGCCCTAAGTTTTCATGGCATAGGGTGGACATGGTCTCGCCCGGGGGTCTCAAACTCACGTCATCACTGCGGCGTCACGGCGTATCAGGACTTCCCGCCCATCTTTCCTTTCACTAAAGCGGGCATGGGCCTGGCCAGCACACGACGCATCCGGCCCATTGGCTGGGAGTTTGATTTAATACTTTCTACACTACATGATAATACTTTAAAAAGTATTATCATCCAGCTCTCTGATATTTTGCAACATTTTCCCTCTATTCCCTATTTTTCTCTCTGAATCCTCTCCAGTTGAAATTGCATTTCCCAATAGTTTAAATAATTGCATGTTTTTACAAATGTACAGCAAGTAGTTTAAAACCAGTTAATTAAAAATTATATTCTTGAGTGAACACATATGGCCTTATTCATTTTGCATTTCAGTAGCGTTCTAAATAAAAGACCTTGGTAAGGGACATATTTGTATAAATTTAAAGCCCAAATCTTTAACTCTATTTCAGGTCAAAACCATGAAAATATATAAGGTAATATGAGGTAACCTTATCCAGGCTGCAAAAAGATGGATGATGGCTAGATGACATGCAAGAAAGGTATCATTTCTGTGCCTTGGCCAGATTTCTCTTGGTGCAACTAATTGGGCTCCCGAAGGCGCTTTCCAAAAGGCAACTAGGATTCCTTTGTCCAGAGGGGGTTTCATTGGCGTGAAAGTGGGGTAAGAGAGGGGTCGTCTGTGTTAAACAGCCCCCTTTCAATGGAGGGCGGGGGGGGGGGAATATGACGCCATATCTCTCTCCTGGGCACAACACGGGCCTTTCGGTCCAATTCTAGGAAGGTCCCATACACCTATTTGCACCTGTTTGGTTCAGGTTATTATCCTGAAGGTATAAATAGGCCCCCGAGTGGCCTCAACCTCTCCTGGAGAGCTTAACCTTCAGTGCTAACGACCACATTACATGCGGAGAATGCGAAACATTCCTCACCGTTCAGTCAGAACCGAAGGTGCTTCTCGAATGAGAAGCGAAACGTCTTCAAGGGGGAGGAAAAAAAAAGCCTTAGGAAAAGCATCTTTGGGACAGAATCTGGACGGCTGAGGATCTTCATGGAAGCCTCACCGGAGCCTTAAGTTTTTGGGGGCGGAACTCTTGATGCGCGTTGGTCTTGATTCGCAGAGGGTGAAAAAAAAGTATCCCCGAAGGGACCCAAACTGTCAATCGAGGATCCTCCCGCATCGGCGCTCCGCTCCCCTCCCTGCCTGGGAGGCGAAGAACCTTCTTCGGGCGCTTCGCTTCGCACCGCCTTTTGCGGAGCTTCCTCGGCGGCGGCGGCGCCACGCCCTCCGCCGCCCGGACCCTCTGCGCGCCTGCGCGGCGCCTCCGATCTCCCCCCCCCCCCTCTCTGGCCTGTTGGGAGCAGCCCTGGTAGCAGAGCCCCCTTGCCTCCCCCTGGGGGCAGCTCACCCCCTGCTGCTGCTGCTGCTGCTACGCCCAAGGAGGAGCGGAGCTGATCGGCTGCGATGGAGACCGCGGGGACGACGCCGACAGGGAGCAGCGCGGGGCGCAAAAGGATCCCCGCCCGGGAGAGGCCCACGGCCGAGGACGAGGCCCTCAACCTGATCGCTCGCGAGGTACGGCGGCGCCAGCGCTGGGCGGTCCCCTCCCTCCTCCTCCTCCTCCTCCTCCTCCTCTCCCTTCTTCCTCTTTCGGTCTCGGGAGCCTCGGGCGCCTCTCGGCTCTCCGCAGGGCCTTCCCTCCGCCGAGGGCGCCCGTGGCAGGCGGGGCTGGACGGCGTCCTCCCCCCTCTCGCCGCTTCCCCCGCCACCAACACGCCCCTTCTTCCCCGCGAGGAGTTTCTGCCTCGTCGCCCCCTTCTCTCTCTCCGGGCTTCCACTCCGCCTCCTGTTAAGTTTCATCAGCGGAGACTTCGCTCGGCTCTCTCCCCGGTGGAAATTAAGGGGAAGTAGCGTCAACACGACCAAGTTGGTGCGGGCGACGAGATAATGTGCTTTTATACCCATAAATCCCGAGTTCCCTTCGGTTTCCTCCACTGTGGGCTGTCCTTGAATATATATATATATATATATACACTTTTTGCAGTTCAAGACCTCCCCCCCCCCCCAATCTGTAATATATTTCAATATTTTGTATATTTTGTACATGCTGATATGTTGGATTATTTGGGGTTTTTAAAAAAAAAATCCTGCCTTTATTATTTCATCAGAAACTCCAGGTGTCAAACATATAATATAACAATTCCCCTCCCTATTCCCATTTTCTCCCTAATAAAAAGACCTGTGAGTTGTTGTGCTGGTTGGAGAGAGAGAGAGAAAAGGGGGGGGGGGATTGGAATGCCACCAAGATCCCCAAGGCAGCTTCCACGCCCAGCGCAGGACTAGAACCCGTCACCGTATCCTGGTGTCTCTACGCCAGCACCCTCACCCAGCACACTCACCAATACCGCCAAAGTGGCTGATGATAAATACCTGTCACTCTTTAAATTTCACAACTTTTATACGCGTAGTAATTTTCTGTTACAGTGTTACATTTGTTTAGTAGTATATGAAATTAAGAAGTTAGGGTGAAATTGTGGATTTGAACTAATTCATTTAACATGAAATGATAACAGGAATAATACCATAAAAATAATCGGGAATATATAATTTATATATTCTGAATTAAGTAGTATAAATGTATAGAGTCTATATTTGTTAAAAAGGTAGTCCTCGACTTATAACAGTTTGTTTAGTGACTATTTGAAGTTACACTGGCACCGAAAAAAGGGACGTGATCATTTTTCACATAACAGTTGCAGCGTTCCCATGGTTACATTGTTTACATTTGGATGCTTGACAACTGGCTCTTTTTAATTAAAAGATTCCAGGATCGTGTGATCATTTTCTGACAAGAAAAGTCAATGGGGAAACCAGATTCACTTAACAACTGAGTTACTAATTTAACAACCAATTATTCATTTACCATAACTGTGGCAAAAAAAAGGGTAAAATGGGGCAAAACTCACTTAACAAATATCTCACTTAGCAACAGAAATTTTGGGCTCAATTGTGGTTGTAAGTTGAGGACTCCCTTAATAATTTGTCTGAAAAGGAGATGGGAAACCATTTATTCATATGTTGTGATCAACAGTTTTATCACTGATTCTAACGTAGCTAAAAAAAATAGAGTTGGAAGTGGTCAGATGGTATTAGCAAATCCAACTTTCTGCTTAGTGCAGGAATTAAAGTAAATGCATCTTTGATATCTTGCATTTTACCCATTTTTTTCCAAAATTCTCAAAGACATGTATTCCTAAGAGGTATAGACAATAGAGACATAAAGATTAGCATATTACTTCAATTTCTGAGGCATGGGTGCCAAACTCAAGATGTGGTTAGATCTGGCCTGTGGAGATCTGGTCAGCCTGGAAACAGTGAAGGACCGGCCTGTAGCGTTTGGCCTGACCCAGGCTGACCAGGCACTGATCTACAACCTGGCAGCCATCCGGTGCCAGAATATGGTCAGCCTTAGATCTGTGAGGCCGGCTGGAGCAGTGAGGGGCCACTCCCGCCGTGTCCTGCCCCCACCCCATGGCAAGCGCACAGGAGGCGGTGCACATATGTGGAGCCTGGTGTCCTTGGGGACCATCTTGCTCTGCAGGCGGACTGCGTTCAGAGCACTTCCTTTCACCCAGGACGCCAATGCACACCATCTCCTGTGCGCACACCCAGGGAGAGGGGGCCTCTCTCGCTGGCTCTAGGGCAGTGATGATGAACCTTTTTTGGCTCGCATGCCAAAAGCGGGGGGGGGAGTGCAGGGGCGTCGTGCATGGGCATGCCATACCCATAATGCTATGCGCACAACGCCAGCACACATGTGCACACGACCAGCGCTCCCACTCATTTTTGGCGTGCTTTTTTTGCCCTCCCCAGGCTCCAGAGGCTTTATAGGAGCTGGGGAGGACGAAAACAACCCCTCCCCCAAGGTCCTCTGGAGGCTTTTGGAGCTTCCCTGAAGCCTCTGGAGCATGAAAAACCAGCGCTACAGGCAAACCGGAAGTCACTTCCATGAATGCTCCGGAGGCCTAAAGCCGGCCCTACAAGCAACCCAGAAGTACGTTCCCGAACTTCTGGTTTTCCTGTAGGGCCGGTTTTCCTGCATGTGTGCTGACCAGCTGACAGGACAATGCCTCGCGTGCCATGACAAATGGCTCCACATGCCTCCTGTGGCACGCGTGCCATACGTTCACCATCACGGCTCTAGGTCAGATCTAAGGCTAGCCATGTTCAGGCCTAGATGGCCATCAAGTGAAATGGCACCGTGAAATGTGGTGGCAGCATTTTGCTTTAGGATTCTTTTTCTTCAGCTGGAACTGGGCCTTTAGTCAAGGTGGAGGGAATTATGAACAGTTCTACATATCAGTCAATTTTGGCACAAAGCCTTTACGCCACCATTTTATTTTAGTGTTTATTTTCTCCTCCTAAATTTTTTGGTTTGTTTTTCAATTGAATTGTGTAGCTTGGAAGCCATTTTTTACAGTGGACCACAAGCCTGGGAGGGGAGATAGTCAACCTGGTCCCTACTGCCCACTTGTGGGCGTTCCAGCTTTCATGGTGGGCTGTAGAGGTTTTGTCCCATACTGAAGCCCTTTCCTTTTTTTAATTTAATTGACTTCCCTACTTTATAAATCACCATTACTGTGGAACCTGTGGGCAGTTAGAAAATTTTACTACTAACAGAGATACAAAAGTGGGCGGTAGGTATAAAAAGGTTGACTAGCCCTGGTGTAGAGCATGGGAGGTTTGTAGTCATAATAACATTCCTTCTCAGAGACTCAAGGAGACTTACCCCAGCACCTGGAGGGACATCATTGGGAGGAATCCCTTTTGGGACAGTGACTGATTGGACCATGTGATGGACATGTGGGTGCTGGGACAGGGTCTTGGACTTTCAACTAGGTGGGGAATTCGGGTTTCCCAGATGTGCCAACATGGCTCTTCTAATAAATTGGAACTTTGAGGAACTCAGATTCTTATTTTCTTGAGGATGCTATTTGGAACCCTGACATAGCTTATATAAAATTCACATTAAAGATGGAAACCATTCTTAAGTGGTCTTGATCTCAAAAATGCATTTCCACAGGGGTGCGTGGACTTTTCTATATCCGCTGTTTTTGACTTCACAGTTGTCTGGGAAAACTTGCATAGGATTATGAGTCAAAGTTTGATTTAACTATTTGTTCTTTATTACTGGTTTTATTTATATATAATCTATCTCTATTTTTATCATATGCATTCATTTTTACCTTTGCAGTTATAATTTGTAATAACATTATTAACACTAATAAATGACCATTTTAAACAACAACATTGTAGAATATCACAGATATCAGAGGTTTAAATTCTAAGAACCACAGGAATGACTTTATTTAGAGAAAGCTGTTGACTTTGGCAGAAATAATAGTATAGATCCAAACCCAAAATAGAAGAAGAAATGCTGAATGCTTAACAATTTTAAATAAACATTTGTTAAATCATAGTGTAAAATTGAGCCTTGTATTTAATTATTTTATGTGTTACATATTCATACAATTGTTTTGTGACAGGAAATTTCAGATGGTTGAGTTGTTTCTGCTTCTTGACATCTACAGGATACATTTTTTTTGAAAGGGAAATGGCTATGAACCAATAAAAGGAAACTGTACAAACAAGTCAAATTGCGTAGTCTCCTGCATCAAGTTCCAATGTATGTTGCTTACATTTTTATTTGGGCAGAGTGGAGTGTGAAGTGATTTATGGTTTCCATTATTTCTGTAACTTTGTAAACTACAAGATAAATATAATTGAATTCATGCATGGATGGACTTTTAGAGAATTAGATGTAATTGTAGCAATTTTCTCATGTAATATTTCTAATACTTGCAATTATAATTTTAAAAAATCAAGTATTTATGTTTGTATTTTTGCATCATTGCAATTTTAACTTCTTTCAGTTTCTTAATTAAATAGTGTTTCTGTTTGTTATGAGAACTAGTGGGTAAAACACTGAACTAGGAGATGGGGGGGACCTGATTTTCAGACCTTAGGCACAAAGCTAACTGAATGTTTGTGGGACAGTCCCCTTTTTTTAGTCCTAGGACAATGGGACATCACTTTGGTTAGAAAATTACCTTGATTTGGCCATATGGTTGCTGAACACTGACAAATGCACACAAATTCACGCACACAAAAAGTCCTAATTATATAGTTGAAATAAAACACAATGTTTAACTTTCTGACTTATTTTATTTATTTTTAAAATGTGTCTTCCATCTGACATTAATCAACCAGACTGAAAGTGGCTTACATAACTTATTTTTCTTTTAGTAAATAATTTTTATTCAACTTTTTAAACTTTAAAACAGCATTTCCAATCTTTACAGCGTTCTGATACTTGTATCCATTCTATTTACAAATGTTTCAGTTTTATGGTCTTTTACACATTACATGTTATACATTACATATATATGTATGTATGTATGTATGTATGTATGTCTTTGGTTATTCGGGTTTTCTCCCGCGTAAAATAAAGACCTACATACTAACACCCGCGAAAACCTCAGAAAACAAATATGTATGTATGTGTACACAAACAC